ATTTTCAGCAGAAAATTGCTCAAACTTAGTCAGAATCATCTTGGGTAAATGAGAGTTTTACTTTGTAAAATTAGGATTCCTGCCCCATCCCCAGGGGCTAGGGCGGGGCCCCAAAGGGAACATTTACCAATATTTTCAAATTCTTATCCATTGATGACATGACAAGTATTGTATTTCACTTAGTTTACATGCTGATTTCCACATCACATCTAAACAATAAAATAAAGCTACCAGTATCTATGATATAACTCAGGTGACCGCTAAGGCCCTTGGGCCTCTTGTTTAACTGGACACATTTCGAACAGTTCACAGCAGTCCCTCTCTTCCTCGTTAAGCTATGTATTGCACTGTAAAAGCGATTTTTGGAATGTTTATACGTTTTCTGTTGAGTTTAATTATAAATTATTGTAGATAATAAACATTCAAATTTACTCTAATTTCTGTTCTTACATGAATGGTTAATTTCCATTCATATTCACTTAAAAACATATCAATAATGACTTGCTGTGTGTACAGTGGAACGTGTATAAACGTTTCTGTGCCACTGATATCCTGTTTAGACCGGTTATACTGTAGATTGTCACCATTGTAACTGCCCAGATTGTGCCGAGACTCGTGGGGATATACCAGTGCCTACAGAAAGAAGCCAGCCGGACTCACTTACAAGCGTCTCTATCTCCTCCTAGATGAGGCCAGTCTCACCTTCAACTTTAACCCTTTTGAGGTGAGATATATACTTTACTGTTAAAATCAACATACAAAGATGATAATTTCAATATTAAACTATTCTTGCTTTTATTTTCCACAGTCCTTTCCATTAAGAGATACATACAAACTTTATTACCCTGTAGGCAATTCTATTCCCGGATAAATGTGCAAACAAATTTTGAAATCAGCATAAATGTTGCCGGTTATTTCTCGTCTTATTTATATGTTGGTCTTGAACATTTGTAAACTTATTTTGATAATAATAGTGATAGTCACCTTAGTTTACATGTGATATTGATTGTGATACTGTAGGGTGCGAGGTATCTGTTCCGTCACGGTCTGCTGAACGACAACCCTATAGAGATAGCAAGATTCCTTCATCACACAAAGAGGATTAGACCAGCGAAAAAGACAGAGTATTTGGATCAAAGGTTTGTACAAAAGAATAAGCGGCCACCGTATGTCATTTCTCTTGTTTGAGGTGTGAAGGGGAAGGAAGCGTTTATCTCTTTGGTGTGGCCAACCTCACTGGAATGAAATGTTTAATTCAACATTTTTCTGTAATATTTAAGTGATTAGTGGTGCATTTTGTAATTCCTAAAGTTCATTTCAGTTGTACATGATTCCCACTTTCAACAATCCTTTAACAACCATTGCAGATTAAGAATATTTTGAATTTGTATGAGTTTCACTTGCTTGTCTATAATACAAAAGTCTCATTTTAAGTCAGATATTACCTGATATAAAAAGTCTTTATTAACCCCCTCCCAACCCTAAATTCAAATGTCAAGAAAATATTTTATGCTGCAAATATTCTTGTACATTTCATTTACAGGAGAGATGCTTTATCAAAGATGGTGCAACTCCAGAATTTTGAAAACCAGTTTTTACCCAACGCTCTCAGAAACTTTTTCGGTGAAGTGTCAGCACCTGATCAGAGGGGAGATTACCTCACTGAAATTATTGAGAAGTTCTCCGAGCGGTTCTGTAATTGTAATCCTCAGCTGGGTCTTTCTAAAGGTACACTCTTCAAATTATAGAAGTTATTATTACAAATGCCAAAAGTGAGGTATTGCAAAGCAAGGCACCACAAAATAATAGGTAGATAAAAGTAGAGAAAGATTCCAAACAATGCAACAGGTGCAGCAGATTTACATTAGTTGTTTTTGTGTTCCAAAAAAGAGGACACAAAAGCAAATTCCCAATTCTAATTCTGCAGGGTGTTACACTTAGCTCACCTGCCAGAAGGACTAGTGAGCTTATGTCATGGCCCGGCGTCTGTCCTCCGTCCGTAAGCTGTTCCTTTAAACGACTTCTTCTGAAGAATGGAGAGGCCTAGAGTTATGATATTTGGCTGAAAGCTTTGTTGGTAAAAGCCAGACTAAGTTGGTGAAAATTCCCTTGACCAACTTTCAAGGTCACAGGTCAAATGTGTCAAACGCTTCTAACAACTTCTTCTAAAGAACTGAAAGTTATAAAACTTAATATTTAGCTGGTAGCTTTCTTGGATGGAATTGACAAAGTTTGCAAGTGAACATTACCTTGACCTTCTCTCAACCATGGGGGGCATGGGGCTATGGGGACAGAGGGATGGGACCCAAAATGCTTTAAACAAGTTCCTCTCTGGAACAAAGTGATAGATATCAACCATATTTGGTTGGAAGCTTTCTCTGTTGAGGATTCAAATTGTACAAATAGTGGGGCTGACCCCCAAGTGGCTGAGGGGTGGGGCCAAATAGGGGTAATTTGGCTATATAGCTTGAAGCTACTTCTTCTCTGGAACTAAGAGATAGATATCAACCATATTTGGTTGGAAGTATACTCAGATGATGAGATTTTACAATTGTACTTTGAAATGTTTGAGACCCATAGCCATTTATATATATACCATTACTTGTCATAAAGATCTAGGTGAGCAATGCAGGCCCTCTGGGCCTCTTGTATTCATTAGAAGAGTCAGTTATGAAATTCAAATCTGCCAAAAATATTTGCATACACACATTTAAACATTTGACAGTTTTGCTCATTTTCAAATTTTAAAATGCTGATAATTGAGTCAGTTTTTGAAAGTACAACTGTGAGAAGGACGAGTTAATAGTAAATAGTAAGATGTTTAATAGACTGATGATGACTGTTTAAGTTTTTGATAATGTTATTTTTCCCCTATTTACAGATGCAGTGTTTGTGTTATGTTTCTCTCTCATCATGTTATCGGTCGATCTCGCCAGTCCTCACGTTAAAAACAAAATGTCCAAGCGAGAGTTTATCAAGAACACTCGGAGAGCCACTGAGGGTGTAAGCGATGACCTTGCGGGCCATCTCTATGACAACATATACCTGATTGGTCATGTCGCTGTTGAAGACAGATAACATCAACCTTTGTGCTATAGAGTTTTAATGTCAGGGCTAAGTTGTACAAATCAGTATTGTTAACTTGACATGGGGTTATTTTCAAAAAAAATTGATAAAATCAGACTTTCAAGTCTCTTCAGGACTGCAAATTCAAATAGCACCTGAAGAAGCATACAAGAAATAATTTTAAAAGAATTGGGAATAACTTTTTTCTATAAATATACTGATTTTTTTTAGTGTAGTGTAGTACCTTCTGTTTGGAACTGTCTGGAGAGAACTTGTTACCATATACATGTACTTAAGTATTACAAGATATTTTTTTATATCTTCACAAAGCACAAAGAAACTGAGAAAGTTCTGACCTACTCGTGAACATTTATATGATATTGCATTGAAAAAACAATTCATTCTTCTGGGTTTTTTTTATCAAAACATCTGGATATCATCAGTAACCAATCAAATTGTTTGGGATGTTTGATTGGACATATTTGTATCACACTAGTATCACTGGTTTATCAGACGGTTTATATTTACACTGCAGAGAAGCTTTCACTTCTATTATACTGATGAAACACTACTAAAAAAATAATTTGAAAAATGTTTTTTTCTGAAAATTATTCCATGTCATCAATGAGAATGTTTATGACTACCTATGTGTAGGTGACTTTGTACAAGGGAGTCCTGATACCTTTGTAACATTCTGATGTATTTTATATTAATGTTATTTGTATATATAAGAAGCGTATTTTTCAATATTTAACAACCAGCCATCCGAATCAAAACTTATATCCATCCATTTGTTACAATAGTACACCAGGTAAAACTGTTTATCTGCATCTATTGTCGTTTCCAATGAATTGCTTCTCCACACAATTGTCAATATTGGAAATGATATCAAACAGTTGATTACATGTTATTTGGTAATTCTGTGATTGTTTAGGCAAAATTGGTGCAAGAGGTGGTAAACACATATTTTTGTTCTGTATTTACATTGGAGCTTTGATGATTCAGCTAAATGTGTTCCTATCATATTTGTTAAGTCCACTAGAATAAGAAATCATACCCTGTGGGGTGACAGAGAAATCATACCCTAGGGATGACAGAGAAAACATACCCTAGGGAGTGACAGAGAAAACATACCCTATGGAGTGACAGAGAAAACATACCCTAGGGAGTGACAGAGAAATCATACCCTAGGACAGAGAAATCATACTCTAGGGATTGACAGAGAAATCATACCCTAGGGAGTGACAGAGAAATCATACCCTAGGACAGAGAAATCATACCCTAGGACAGAGAATCATACTCTAGGGAGTGACAGAGAAATCATACCCTAGGACAGAGAAATCATACCATAGGGAGTGACAGAGAAATCATACCCTAGGACAGAGAAATCATACCCTAGGACAGAGAAATCATACCCTAGGACAGAGAATCATACCCTAGGGAGTGACAGAGAAATCATACCCTAGGGAGTGAAAAAGAAATTGTACCCTAGGGTGACAGAGAAATCACATTTCAATGACGTCACAATTGAACATGTGCTAATCAGCATGAGGCTATCTCCCCCAAGGGGGTGACAAGCTGATCTTTCCTGGCTAAAACAGGAGACACAACTGTGAAGGGTGGGAGAAAGCATACCCTGTGGGGTGACAGAAAATTAAAGGTTCTGTAACAAAATTGAAAGTTCTGTTACAAAATCAAAGGTTCTGTAACAAAATTGAAGGTTCTGTTACAAAATTGAAGGTTCTGTAACAAAATTAAAGGTTCTGTAACACAATTAACTGTTCTGTAACAAAATTGAAGGTTCTGTAACACAATTAACTGTTCTGTAACAAAATCAAAGGTTCTGTAACAAAATTAACTGTTCTGTAACAAAATCAAAGGTTCTGTAACATAACTTACTGTTCTGTAACAAAAGCAAAGGTTCTGTAACAAAATTAACGATTCTGTAACAAAATAAAGGTTCTGTAACAAAATTGAAGGTTCTGTAACAAAATAAAAGGAACTGTAACAAAAGCAAAGGTTCTGTAACATAATTAACAATTCTGTACCAAATTAAAGGTCCCTTTGTGTCGGATACCAATAGAAGCAAAAAGTTGCATGTCTTTGATTTTGTCGAATCATATTCGAGGGGTGCTGAGAATGTAAGCGAGTGTATTCCTGGAATTTCGAGGATGAATTTTGAGGGGTTTAAGAGCAAATATTGTGCATGATCAGAAAACAATATGAGATGGCAGCTATTATATATGTTTTGGTGTGTATGAAGTACAATTTGCATCTACCTTAAACATATATATATACAATATATATAAGTATACATTATATATATCAAGCAGAACAAACCAGACTTCCCTGTGGCAAGGCATTTTAATATGCCTAGCCATAGTTGGAAAGACATGCAGGTTGTTGCCATAGATCATTGCCCTACATGGGATGAAACAGGACGAAGTACAAGAGAACGGTTTTGGATCACCAATCTACAAACCCGCTACCCTCGAGGTATGAACGAACGATAGGCGGTTGCCATCCACTCGTTTCCCTTCCAGGGGGCATTTGACCTAATGATGCATTACTGCACAGTTGGTCTGCTAACTCGCCTGCCTGCTGCTTCATGTCAGTGTGTGTGACCAACAGCCGTTATCAGATTAATTTTGCAGATTTATACAGTATCTTAGCCATTTCATCTACTTATTCCTCCTGCACTCACTTATTTGATAATTACTTGCAGAATTCCTGCAAACCAAAAGAGGCACATGCATTATTCCTGCAAACCAAAAGAGGCGACTAAGTATGGACCCCCTGCTGTGACTGTTAGATCCATCGCAGTATTGAGAGGCGACTAATGAGACATTCCGTAGCAAATTGGAGATTTTTCACATTTTCCGGGCATTTCCACATGCACATGTTCCACGTTTTTGATATCTCTCGTTGACTCACTTTATATAATAGTGCATCTTGCGCAAGAATAGGTCCTCTACATCAGCGTTCCTTGTCTGCGATGGTCTCGGCTTAATTGCTGCCTTCGGCTGTCTTTAGCCGAGGTGACTATTGGTTTTATATAATAGCTATATTTTCAATTATAGTATATCAATTCTATCTTCTTGTAATATGATGTACATGTAACTGTTCTGTTTCACTGTGTCTTGAAAAAGGAGCGGATCGCTCCGAAAATTTGACAACCTAAACTTGTCCACACTGTTGGAGTTACTTCTATGCCCTATATAGATAAATTTAGATGTACAATATTTTACTTGTGATAATAAAAGGTCCATGCTTGAAAATAAGCCCCAACCCATCTAACAGATTTTATCTTGGAGATTTTTAGTGAAATGAAAATGAATGAACAAGGTAGAAAGATACCGATAATCTGTGAAATCTGATGGAGACCTGTACTGTGACCCATATCAAGTAAGCTTGGTTCAGTGTAGCTAGATGGCTGAAGCAACTGTTAGGATTCTATGTACGAACATTCTCTCCAAATACATCAAAAGCTCTCTTACACTGTAACACATATATTCCAAATAAATGGATCCCATTTACTCCCTTATTAAGGATTGACCCTCCTCCCAACTCCCCTCCAACCCATCCAGTCTTTAATAATATAATTATTCCATTTAATTTTAGACGAATTAAAGATATTACGAGATAAAATGCACACACATGTTAGAAACAGTACATTTCATTCACATTGCCCTTATACCGTTCTATAGCTCTTATATTTCACAAAGGTGTTATAATTGCTATATTGATAACCTGAAAAATGCACAATATAATTATAAAACCAGTGAATTTGATTTCCTTTTGGTTTGGAACTAGCTAGGACTATTGACTTTAACAATATTGCTCAAAATTTTAACCCTGCAGGAATTTTAACCTGCAAAATTTAAACAATAAAGCACGTAAAGAGATTTTGTGATTGTTAACACAAATACATAAAAATTGTTAGCCTGACCTATTTGTAAATGTGTAGCAATAGGCAGATTTATGAGTCATATCTGATTGATATAAACGCATCATGTACATATACCTATACTTGTACATGAAAATGATATTTATTGGCTTAGAACATTTATTTAAGTGCTGTTCCATTTAATTACTTTGTCATTTTGTTATTGTGTATTTTAACTATGAATATTGCATTGTATTTTTAGTTCATATTATGCCATTGCGCAGCATCCTTCCTTGTGTTAACGACATTTCTTTAAATGAAAACCCCTAAGTTATGTGGGAAGGGATTTTATTTTTATTTTTATATGAATCTTCCCTGAGAAAAAAGGATTCAATGTTATTGTGATCTTGGTTGAGAGAGAAAGTACACGACAGGGGAAATGGGGGTTGCTTTTCGCCACTAGTCCTTAAATAAAGTTTGATATATTAGATCTTCAGATGGAAGGAAAATTCACGTGACCAAGTGGAGTGAAGGTAGAAATGAAGGGTGGGATTTCCTGAGAAGATTGGTGGAGATTGAAGCTGATGAATAAATTTTGACCAAATTATAAGGTCTATTGGGCCAGTTTTGACTGAAATTGGTGCTAATGATTATCAAAAGGTCATGACCATGTGTTGATATTTTCAGAGATTGTTGAAATATAGAATGGCCACTTAGGCGACTTGCCGTCATATTTTCAATATCTTTTCAACTTCACTGGCCAGTTTCGAAAAAAAAAGCTCTTTCATTATTCTTAAGTAAATTCAAAATAAAACATAGGTGGCTTGAGATTGGTTGGTTTTAACTTTTGATAATTATCCCCCGCTTTCACCGAAACAGGGGATATTAACTTGGGTTTGTCCGTCTGACTGACTGTCTGTCTGTCACTCTTCGTTTCCGTGCAATAACTACAACAAATGTTAACCAAATTTCTTCAACTTGTTCACAGGGTTAAATGCCTTAAGGGCTTGGCCAAGTTCGATGACCACTTTCAGCGGACCCCATTTGGCGGAGTTATGGCCCCTTGAATAGCGAAAAACGTCATTATCTGCTGCGTTTCGTTTCCGTGCAATAACTGCAACAAATATTAACCGATTCTCTCCAAACTTGGTCTCAGGATTAAATGCCTTAGGGGTAGGCCTAGTTCGATGGCCACTTTCAGCGGACCCCATTTGGTGGAGTTATGGCCCCTTGAATAACGAAAAACCTCATTATCTGCTGCGTTTCGTTTCCGTGCAATAACTACAACAAATGTTAACCGATTTTCTTCAAAGTTGGTCACAGGGTTAAATGCCTTAAGGGCTAGGCCAAATTTGATGACCACTTTCATTGGACTTTATTTGGCAGAGTTATGGCCCCTTGAATAAGGAAAAGCGTCATTATCTTCCGTGTCTGTTCATTTACTCTCGCAAATATTATCTGATTGTCATCAAACTTAGTAACAGCTTTAAATGCATTAAGGGCTTGGCCAAGATATGGCCCCTTGATTAACGAAAAACGTCATTACCTGCAGTTTCCGCTTTATAACTCCAGCAAATATTAGCCAAATTCCTTCAAACTTGATAACAATGTTTGTGTTCCTCTGTCTTTCCACCCAACTCGGGCACTCTTTGGTGTTTGTGTTATAATTGCTGTAGATATTGTTCAGATGTTTCGACCAAATTCAGTATGCACATCCGACTCATGCTAATTTTGCCAACCGATATGATTTGTGCATATTTAAGGATAATCAATGAGGTATAGGGCTTTTTTTTCTCTTCAAGTTTCAAGCTATACATTATGTCTCAACAGCACGATATTCACATGTTTAAACCTTACCTCGTTAATGTTAACCTACAATATGTCCAAGTGGGGGATATAAATTCCACGAATTTGCCTTTTTTCAATGTTCCACAGGGTTCAGTTACACCAGCATTAGTACCATTGCTCCAGGTGCTGTTATTGTGATTCTTTGGATCAATAGGAAATCCAAGATTGTCACTGATGTCTTGTAATATGTCAGTTTTTTATTACTTAGGCCAGCAGTTTCTATTACTTAGGCCAGCAGTTTCTATTATTTAGGCCAGCAGTTTCTATTATTTAGGCCAGCAGTTTCTATTACTTAGGCCAGCAGTTTCCATTACTTAGGCCAGCAATTCCGGCCATCTGGGTTTTTTGTTACGTTTCCATTGTGTACTTCACATTCCTTTTTGACATAAGCATTCATCAGTT